GAACCTGACGTGCCTTGCGCGAAATGTTCTTAAAACATTTCTGGCTGGGACTGTCCTGTTCTAACACATCGGGCTTTTGTTCTAAGAGCGCTGCTTTTGTGTTTCGGACTCTTTGGGTTCTAAGAACGTGTCGTGGTAGGCCTGTAGGAATGCTTGGACGGTCGGTCCCTGCTCGAATCCCAGCTCCGCCATCGCACCACCCAGTTGGGCACAGGCCCCTCGAAACCCGAAGGGAGCAGCCTTTATCCCCATCTCGGGGGGTACATCGGCCAGTGGGACCCAGCCCACGCCAGTGGGGATAGGGACAGGTGAGACGAAGCTCGGAAGGGGGGAAGTGAGAGGGGGCAGGCCTTCTCAGAAGGCGGCGGGGCTTCGGAGAAGGCATAGCAAGCTTCCCAGAAGGGCAGAGACCGCCGGCGCCCTGAGAAGGCCCGCTCTCCTGGGCGCTCCCTAAGTCAGGACGCTCTCCTCCTCCTCCTCCCTCCTCCTCCTCCTCCTCCTCCTCCTCCTCCTCCTCCTCCTCCTCCTCCTCCTCCTCCTCCTCCTAGTCCTCCTCCTCCGCCTCCTCCTCCTCCTCCCTCCTCCTCCTCCTCCTCCTCCTCCTCCTCCTCCTCCTCCTCCTCCTCCTCCTCCTCCTCCTGGGGCCAGCAGGCGAGCTCCGAGGACCGTGCCTCATCCGATGCATCGGCGACGCGGCTCAGCGTGTAGTCCGGTTTTCTCCACGCCGGCGGCGCCGATACCTCGCCGGCGCATCGGCGATGCCTTGGCGACGCGGCGCGATCTCCCGGCCCGATCTGCTCGGACCCCGTGGGTGAGATCTATTATCGGCTGTTGCCAGGGGTGTCCTTGGCAAGGTTCAGGAGGAAAAGAAACACACAGACACAATTAATCTTGGATTCCCCAGAAAATATGGGAAAATATGGGACCTTTGGTGCGGGCACGGATGGCCCCCCCGTGGCCGAACGTGAGGAGGTAGCATTAAGTCGGGCCTGTCACTCTACAGGGGGAATATTCAAAAATAGTGAAAAATAGTCTGGGAACGATTGTTCGAGCCCTCTTTTGACCATTTGTGAATCTTCTTGACCATGGTAAACTGTTCGTCCAAAATACGCATGGGGGGGGACATGCTCGGCCTAAAGGTAGCAGCGGCCTGCGCGCTTGCGGTCGGGCCCCCGGCGGCCCCCAAACTAGCCGCGCACCACAGGCCACTCGTGCCCGGGGTCACTCTTGCGTGCAGCTGACTCCAGAGCGAGGAGGAGAGGGAGGAGGAGGAGGAGGAGGAGGAGGAGGAGGAGGAGGAGGAGGAGGAGAAGGAGGAGCACCCCTCACGAGGCCCAGAGGGCCCTTGGGAGCTCCAAAGTGGAGCGGCGAGCTCGGGGCACCTTGGGCCAGGGGCGCCTTCCGCACCCCCCCGACCACGGGGGCGGGCCCAGAAGTCGGTGGCCCGAAGATGGGGCCCCTCGGAGGTCGACAGGAGCCCCGCCCTGCCGAGTCGAGTGGCGCACTGCCATGTTGCGATGCTCGAGAGGGTGCTGCGGCCGCAACTTTTTTGCGGCCCGCGCCGCCGCAGCTGGTCCAGGGCGCGGCCGCGTCGCGCGCAGGGCCCCGTGTGGATCTCGACGGGTCGGGTCGTCACAGATGGTCTCGCGGGCCGGGATGTCATGTTCACACTCTGCATGACCGTTGGGCTCGTGTTCCAGTGGTCCCCGTGGGATCCGCAGCAAGCGTAGGATTGGTCTTCCTCCCCGCTGCTTCTCCATTCCCTTGATGTCCCTTGTTCCCCTGCTTCATGTTGCTAATCTCTATCCCTGTCTCCCGTTCGCCTCGCTCCTTGTCTGGGTTCTCTCTCTCTCTCTCTCTCTCTTTTTGTATCTCTCTCTCTCTCTCTGCCTCTCTTTCTCTTTCTCTCTCTCTCTCTCTATGTATTTTCTCTCCGTCTCTCTCTCTCTCTCTCGTTCTCCCTTCATCCCCGCCCTGCTTCCCCTCTCACCCCTCTTCCTGATTCGCTATTCGATTACAACCCTACGCACTAAATAATTATCAAGAACTCATTATCATGTCCTCGTCCTTCGAGTGTCGTTCCCTATCCAACTCCTCACACTCCTCCACCCCCCTCCGGCAATCTTTCTGGTTCCTGCATTTTCATTTGGAACTCGGACCACCCTGTCCTTGCAGGAGGGGCTTGAAGGGCACGGTCACTCACAAGCCAATGTTTCTAGCAGTCGGCGTCGGATGCTAGGGCAGGGACGCCATATCCAGCACTGCTGTTGCCCACCAGGCTGCGGATCGCACGAGCACAGCGACGTGAGCGCCGTACCGATGCAAGCGTCGAGCAAGAATGCGGTCACCGGGCAGGCTGCTGGCGCGGCTGTGCGTCCGCCTGTCGGGCCTGTCTCACCGACCGCCGAGGAAGCGGTGATACGGGTGGCAGAGGAACGGGAGGCACGCGAGCGCGCAACATCACCAGGCAGTGGAGCAGGTTCTGTGTTGCCACGACAACCTCCATCGCGAGGTGGAGGCCAAGGAGGACGACGACCACGGCGGCGGCGGCGACGACGACGGCCCTTCCGTGGCCGCCTCAGGGTACGGCGGGTGATCCGGCCCGACGACGGCTGCGACGGCGACGACGATGACGACCCGTCGCGGTCCACTGCCTGAATATGCCCAGATCCACTGTTTCGGAGTCGTGCTTTGGGATCTGGAGGAGTGGTGGATATTCCGCGGCGGGCGAGGGGGGAAATGAGAAGGAGGAGGCCTTCTCAGAAGGCGGCGGGACTTCTCAGAAGCCCTCGCGCCTTCGGGGAAGTGTTTTTTCTTGTCTTCGGAGAAGGCGTAGAAAATTTCCCAGAAGGCCAGGGGACCCCCGAACATTTGAGAAGGTCTTCTCCTTCTCGCTTCCCCCCCTTGCTCGCCGCCGAGATGTGGATGCCTGCCCGCCCGCCCGGGTAGACATCCATACCCACCGCTCCCCGAGGCAAGAATTGCCGCGGCCGTGGACCTGGGCAGGCATAGGCATCGCTGTCGTCGGCGGCGGCGCCGGCCCACCTGCGCCAGCCCCATGCTCACCGAGCGCGTTCCGCTGCTCGCAGAGTGCCTACTCGCAAACGTCCGAGAACAAAAGCATTCAGGAGGGAAAGAAACACACAGACACAATTAATCGTCGATTCCCCAGAAAATATGGGAAAATATGGGAAGTGGGCGGGAAGACAAAAGCCCAGAAAATATAGGAAAATATGGGGAATTATTTTATTTGTGTGTATTTATTTGTGTGTCCTGGGGCCCCTTCAAGCATGTCTTCCTGCACGTCACGGTGAATCATATGAAGCCCTCGTGGCGGCCACCGGCCCCTTGTGCGAGCAGTTTCCTCTGCATCGCGTAAAAAAATCGCCCCCCCCTTGGAGTGCTGGATTCTCCTGCTGCCTCTTTCTCCTCCCCCTCCTCCTCCTCCTCCTCCTCCTCCTCCTCCTCCTCCTCCTCCTCCTCCTCCTCGTCCTCCCTCTTTTTGCCTCCCCTCCCCCCCCCCGCAGGGGGGGGTCTGGGTTCCCTTCCCCGCTGGGGCGCGGGGGTGGTGCCAGGGGGGGTTGGCCGCGCCGCGTTTTCATGCTTGCCACCCCCCGGGCTGATCCATAAGAAGTTCGGAGTACTCTCTGCGAGCAGTGGAGCGCGCCGGCCCCAGGCAGCAGCACCTGCACCGGGCCGAGGCTCGGGCCGGGCGAAAGGGGGGGATTGGGAAAGGGGGGGTTACGAACTTAGCTGTATGCAGCTGGTTTCTTGCCCCACCGAGGAGCCCATTCCTCGACACCTAGCCGCCCCCGGCGCCGGGAGGCGCCGGGAAGATCAGCTACGTGAGCTGGTCCTCGAACCCCCCCTTTGCCATCCCCCCCCTTGTTCGCCTTGCCCGCGAGGCCAGCACCCACGCCCTGATCGCGGAGCTCCGGGCCGCCGGCGCCACCGAGCTGGACGGCGCGCGGCGGGTGCCCGCCGCCGCCGCCGCAGCCGGCGACCTCGCCGCGGCCGCCGCCCTCGGCATCCTTCGGCGAGGATTCTAAGTCGGGCCTGTCCCTCTACGGGAGAAGCATTCGAAAACAGTAACAAAAATAGTCCGGGGACGATGTTTTGAGCATTTTTTGGCCATTTTGGGCCATTCTTTGATAATTTTTCATTCTTCGTCCAAAATCCCCTGTAGGAGGACAGGCCCGACTTGAGGCGAGGACCACGGATGAGCATCGTGGACCATCTTGCGAACAACATGATGGACCCACGAACCCGGAAAGGGATATAGAACCGCATGCATGGAAACGTTTTCACGACACCGTATTGGGCGACGGGCACTTCCACGAGACCCCGCGAAACATTCCACGAGACACGGGCGACCGTTTTCAACGTTTCCCTGGAAACATTCCACGAGACACCCCGCGAAACAGTCCACGAGACACCCCACGAAACATTCCACGACGACAGGCAACCACTCAACCAAGGCGGTGTGGTCGTGCTGGGGAGTGGTCGTGCTGGGGTGTGGTCGTGCTGGGGGGTGGTCGTGCTGGGGGGTGGTCGTGCTGGGGGGGTAGTCGTGCTGGGGGATGGTCGTGCTGGGGCGTGGTCGTGCTGGGGCGTGGTCGTGCTGGGGCGTGGTCGTGCTGGGGTGTGGTCGTGCTGTGGTGAGGTCGTGCTGGGGTGTGGTCGTGCTGGGTGATGGTCTTGCTGGGGTGGGGTCGTGCTGGGGTGGGGTAATGCTGGGGTGTGGTCGTGCTGGGGTTTGGTCGTGCTGGGGTGGGGTCGTGCTGGGGTGGGGTCGTGCTGGGCACGACAGAGTGGCCCGCACCCTGTGATTTATCGATCGGGATTTCAAAAAACAAGCGTTTCGCCTGAGACTTCCTCAAATTGTCATCCGCCGGCCCACCTTGACCTCGATATTTATCAGGGAAAGAACCTGACCAGACAAGAACGGGAAGCGCCATTTTTGTTCGTAGGGGTGTTTGCCGTTGTGGAAGTACGAAGACGAGGTGGAGGATGGCGTTCAAAGCTCTGGACGCCATCGTTCATACTTGGAGCTTTGGCGTTCCAAGCAGTCCACGTCATCGTTCGTAATGGAGCATTGGGATGTCGTGGTTGGTCTTTCGAAGACCTCTTATAAGTAAGTGTGAAGCCCTCCTCCTCCTCCTCCTCCTCCTCCTCCTCCTCCTCCTCTTCCTCCTCCTTCCCTCCTCCTCCTCCTCCTCCTCCTGCTCCACCTCCTCCTCCTCCTCCCCGCTCCCCCCTAGTCCGCCTTGTCTCTCCTTCTCCACCTCCTCCATCCCTCTCCACTTGCTTCCTCATCCTCCTCCTCCTCCTCCTCCTCCTCCTCCTCCTCCTCCTCCTCCTCCTCTAACGCAGTGCAGGGCGATGATGTCGTGGGCACCTGGCTGGCAGCGCGCGTGACGACGACGACGACGACGACGACGACGACGACCACCAACGACGACGACGACGAGGGCGACGACGACGATGACGGACGACGACTGTGCCTGTGCTGTGTATTTCTTTTGCTGGGGTTCATCCTAGACGGCTGGGGTCCTCGAAAGCAGCCCTCGGAGGCAGAAAGGCTAGGAGAACACCCCCAAGCCGCGGCACGTAAATGAAGACGACGACGATGGACGACGGACGAGTGACGACGACGGCGGCGGCGGCGGCTGCGGCGGCGGCGGTGGAGGAGGAGGACGAAGAGGAGGATGAGGAGGAGGGAAGAGGATGCCCGGAGAGGGGGGGGGGGAGGGAGACAAGGGGGAGGGGGAGGCACGGAGAGGGGGAAGGCGACGATTCCAGGCGCTCCTTGCGAACCGCTTTGGGTGGTAGGGGGCGTGTGGGCGCAGCTTTGGGGTTCCGTGAGGTTTCGTGCAGAGCAGCAGCGTCGCTCTAAGCTACGCTGGGAGCCGTGTGGGGCACTGTATGAAGCTTTTGGGCGCTTTTCTGTACGCTGGCGCGTCCGTAGGGTGGTTGTTTGGGATCTCTGGGCGCCTGTTGGAAGCCTCTTGTGGCGCCTTTGGGCCCACGTTCGTTCAAATTCTATCCGGCACTGCATTTTTGAGGATGGCTGGAACAAAACTGCCTTTTGGCTTGCCGCGCTGGTCTGCCGTGTTGGTCGAGCAAGTATGCTGTCTCGGCGCGTGATGGACCTTGTGGATCGTCTGGGGCTCTTCGGGCCCTCTTCTAGGGAGTTATTTGAACGACTGTTGGCTACCTTTTTGGAGCGTCTCTGGAATGTTTTGGGCCCCTTGGATTGTCCTGGCGCTTCTGGAGGGTATGCGGGCACTCTCTTGGGCCATATTGGCGCTCTCTGGGGCCGTCTTGGGGCCCTCGTAGGCGATATGGGAGTTTCTTCTGGCACTCTTGGTGCTCTGTGGGCGCCTCTCAGGCGTTCTTCTTCGCAAAGGTGTGGAAGGTTGATTCGTTTTCTTGTCGTCGCTGTCGTCGTATTATTTGTCGATGTATTTTCTTTCGTAGTGGGTTCCGTCTTCTTTGCAATTGTATTCGTCCTCGTACTCGTCTTTCTCGTCGTCGTGGTCGTCGTCGTCGTCTTGTCGTTGTCGATTGCAGGGCTGGCAGGAATAGGTCATTTGCTATGCGCACAAGTCGTGGCGTCGGAACGCTGTACGGCAGCAGCGGCATGCTCGTAGGCACGCCTCCGCAGGGAATGAGAGTGCAGTGGCAGGTCGCTTTGCGATCAGTTCGCCAAGCGGTTACATTCTGCATACTCGTGAAGTAGAAAGAGCGGTGCGTTTGCGGCTGTCCAGAAGGACGTTTGTGTCTCCGTGGATGGGGCACGCGGGCGCTGGCACGATGTGATGCGTGTGCAGTTCAGCACCTGTGAATCAAAAGGCTCTTCCCACCACAAGGAAATCCAGAAAGGGTAGTCGTCGCGCTGGCTACACGTGTTGTGTGAGCAAGTTGTCGCCTGGTTCTGGGGGGTCCGAAGTGTGACGAAGGCCAAGGGAGTCTGGGCTTCCCGCGTAGCAGCAGGTGAGTCTCGAACCGTCGGGCGCGAAAGCTCGAGGGTTCAAGAAGGGCTGCCCGGAGGGAGGAGCCCAGTCGCCCCTGGTCCAGTTCGACTTGGGAACCCCAGGCCTGCGCCGGTAAATTGTTCCGGAACCAGAAGACGCCGATGTCGCAGGCCAAATAACAAGCCAGGCCGCTCTTACATGTGGACATGTATCGCTTACACACGTGGTCAAATCCGTGGAGTTTGTCGCCAACGTTTTTTTTCAGCACTGTTGTTGGGGGGTTGTTTGAATCCTTCTACATATCTGACACTCGTCCCAATTGTTCTTGGTGTGTGCTTGACAGCGAACTCATCGGGGTTCGATGTATCGACTTTGGCCTGCGCCATGGCCTCGAACGTATGCTTCGCTTTGAGGACTGTACTTGCTTCAAAGTATGGCCGCATTGGGGACCGGGGTGGAGATCCAACAGTAAGAAAAAACAATTCAATTGGTCCTTTTTGACAGTTATTGGCAGCGCCATATCTCTGCCGTTTGTTACATTGATATCCTTGTTTCGTTTGCAAACATTATTCGATGCATGGGCTGAAGCTCTAAGTAACGTATCCAGTTCTGAGATTTGTAGGATGCTTGTAGAATCCTGCTGGTTTTTCTGGTATATCAAGTGTCATCGTTTTGGGTCTTATCGCTGATGCAACCAATTTCGCACAGTGTCCTCAACTCCATGAAGCGTGCGGTTGTTATCATGGCTGCGATTGTTCTTTTGCACGAGCCTGTGACTACTTTGGGCTCCGTCGGGGTGGCGCTTTCAACTGCTGGAGCAATCGCATATTCGCTTGCAAAGAGGAAGTTGCAGAATGATGCCCCATGGATTTGGCATCCCAGGCTATCAGTAATCGGTGCAATCGTGCACGGCATCCTCAGCCCCATGTTGCTGCCAACCTGCTCAACCATGTATGCGTCAGGAACGTTTTCAGCATCGAACGTGCAACTGACTCTCCAGCTAGAGGGCACAAGACTGTTGCCTGCAACGCGGCTGGTTTTGGTGGCCATCCCATCAAGCGCAGCATGCGACGGACAAGTTCATCATTTGACATGTTTAAAGACTATTATTGCCAGCATCTCGGGGCCTTTGCGCTGGGAGGACGATATGTCTGAGCCACGACGCAGAGAGCTTACAGCTGGCCGAGACGGAACGATATCGCATGCCGACGTTGGCTTGTGTTTTCAAATGAACGGCCATGTGGGTGCAGTCGCACACATCGATAAAGATGATAGCAAACCAGCTGGGATGTTCCAGCGATGCGCAAGTGCTTCAGAACTTGGGCAGGTCTTACGGCTGCTGCCTGGGAAGCCACGCGTTGTGAACCGGAAAAATGCATAGGCCGCTGGACTTCTGACAAGGACAGCCACGCATATCAATTCCTCCGGGCCAGGAGCTTGGTCCGCAGCAGTGGTTGTGGATCAAAGTCGCCCACGGCGAATCACCGCCGCCCCTTGCCCCTTTGTAAGCGTCTCTGTGGCCGACAGCTGGGCCAGAGCTTGGCTAAGCTGTCGGGCCAGTTGTTCCCCGAACGGTTTTGAAATATTTCGGGGAACGCGTGGGGTATAATCCCCCCGCGGCCCTGAATTTTATTATCCTTGTGGGATTATTTTCCGTGGTACACGCTTATGTTGTTGATTGAGATAAAAAATCGGTATTTCAAAGCATATGCACAGCAATGTCAGGCACCGCAAAGCAATGCAAAACAATGTGCAGACATGCAAATGTATGCCAAGCAATGCAAAGCAGCACCACACAATGCTAAGCAATGCAAAGGCATGCACAACAACGCAATGCGATACAACGCGCTGCACCCAGGCTCCGTTCCCTGAAGAGACAAGAACGAACCTCTAAGTGCAAGCGTTGTTTGGGGTAACTGTACGCACGAAGGTTTCGGAGCAGTTGCTCCAGAACAGTTGCCGCTGTGTGGCCTCAGCGAAATCATGGTTCGCCAACTCCGGATAGTCTTGAGCCATCGGGGGAGGGCGATATAGATGCAAAGGCGGCAGGGGCGGGGATAGAGGGGGGAGACAACGCGACGGCGTGCCAGGTAACACGTGAAACTGGTGTTAAAAACAATACCTGTAGGGGGGGCGAACATCTTCCAGACGTCAGCAGGGGAGAGAGGAGAGAGTTGTATTCATATTGTGTAGTTTTGAAAGAGGAGCAGGAGGAGGAGGAGGAGGAGGGAGGGAGGGAGGGAGGGCACCTCGAACGCACCCCGCCCGCGCGGCCCCTCTCCGCAGGATCTCCGCGAGAAGCTGCAGCGATCAAGCGAAGGCGCCAGGAGCTGCAGCGGCCCCCCTTTCTGCGGCCACCCCTCTCCCTCCTCATCCTCCCTTCCCCTCCTCGTCTTCCTCCAGGCTGCGGCCTGCCCCGAAGGGCCAAGCACTGAGAGACAACACCCCCACCCCCGCGCGAATTGCGTATAGGTCTCGCACGGTGTTAGCCTACGGCGCGGAGTGGCCGTTACCCCGTTCAACGGATAGTTCTTTCTTCTCTTTCTCATCCTTTTCGTCCCTCCTCCTTTCCTCCCTCGTCTTTCCTTCCTCCTCTCTCCTCCCTCTCTCCTCTCTCTCTCTCTCTCTTCCTTTGTTTATCTCTCGCTCTCTCTTTGTTTATCTCTCTGTCTCTCTCCCTCTGTAGGGCCGGCGCTGGAGGCGTCGCCAATGGACCCAGCGCCGACCCAAACATAATCCGCGCGGCGCTCGGAAAGTTTCTGTGTGTGTGTCGTTTGTCCTTCTCTTTGCTGTAGTATGTCCGTTTCTTCTGCCGAATACAACAGCATGGTTTCGGCGTCACCCCAACATTCGTACACCATATGTTCGTCGCCCCCCACAGGGGCGACGCGCGCACCGAAACATCTTCTAGTATATGCGTCGTGGCGGGCGCTTTCTGGCCACACCGCTCGGGAAACGATATACTACAAGATGGGTATACTACATGTTCGGGTCGGACGCGCGCCTCCAAGGAGAACATATAGTACTAGTATGTCTTTGCGCGTCCCATAATTAACGGCCGCGAGAAGGAATCTCGTTAAGGTTGATGACGGCGAGCTCCCGCGAGCGAAAGGACCGCCCGCTTGCACATCCGGGGCATGCCGTGCGAATACGTGCCCGTCCCAGCTCTTCGCAGCGGCCAGCTCAATTGAGCGACTGCAGGAAACACACTTGGGTGCGCACAGCTGCTACTACCCCCCCCCCCGTCCATCTGTTCCTTTTTCTTGGTTGTCGCCGCCTGCGGGCGGCTCCAAGGGGGCTTTCTGCAGCCCGAGGGGTCTGGCCCTGACCGAGACAGAGGCCCGTGGACGCACCAAGCAAAGGGGTCCAGCGAGAAGGGGGTGGTGCAATAGATTTGCGGGGTTGCAATACATCTGGGGCGTGCAATACATTCCGGGGCGCAAATGTATTGCTGGGCTTTCGCGTGCAATACATTATTTGCAATAGAATGCAATCCAATTCTTTGGCGCAATGCGTTTGCAATACAATTGCCCAAGATCTATTGCACCACCCCCATTCAGCTGAACCCCCTTCTGGGTCACCCAAATTCCTGCCCCGTCTCTCTCTGCGCTCATTCTTTTGTATGTGCGCGGCTGCTCGTTGCTCGAGCTTGGATCCACGACAGGGGCCGGGAAGAGAAGTCCTCTGTCGGAGGAAGAAGGCACAAGCACACACAGCATGTTCCCCCCCCTCTCTCAAGCACGAGCAGAGGCCGCAGCTGTCTAGAGGGGCGAGAAGGCACGAGCGATCCTGTGCACCGTGCCTGCTCCCGCACGTGGAGGTGATGGGCGTGGCGCCGTAAACCTCCACCCGCCGTTCCAGTTCTCGGGGTGCGGAAGTGGTCTCGGTGCTGGACTGGAGCGGGCCCAGAAGGCCAGCTCAGCCAAGTGCCCCACAGGCGCTCCCGCTGGGGCCAGCCTCTTTCTCGCCAGAAGTGCTGGGAGTGCACCGCGAGGCGGAGCTCCACCACGTGTGCCACCGAATTTCAGAAAAATATAGCAAAACACATGTGTTTTTGGACCCTGACCTTACGGATCTGCGTGAGGGGTGCCGCCGAATTTCAGATATGTAGCAAATCCCATGTGTTTTTGGACCCTGGCCTTACGGATCTGCGTGAGGGGTGCCACCGAATGCTAGAAATGTTGCAAATCTCATATGTTTCTGGACCCTGACCCCGCCGATCTCGGTGAGGGGTGCCAGCAAATTTCAGAAATGCTGCAAATCCCAAGTGTTTTCGGACCCTAACCCCGCTGATCTGCGTGAGGGGTGCCAGCAAAATTCAGAAATGTGGCACATCCAATGTGTTTTCGGACCCTGACCCCGCCGATCTGCGTGAGGGGTGCCACCGAATTTCAGAAATGTGGCAAATCCCATGTGTTTTTGGACCCTGACCCCGCCGGTCTGCGTGAGGGGTGACAACTGTTACCCACCCCAGCAATTCAGAGCACACGCTCAGGGCGTGCTAAACCTGCCCATTTGGACCTCCCCCCCTCGCGCGGTCCATCAACAAGGAACAGTTAGCAGCCAGAAGCAGAACTGTAACAGTGGAAACTGGAAGCTGCAACTGGTCCAGGAAACTGCGAACCTTCGCCCTACAGCCTGGTGGCCCCACAAGGGGGCTGGCGGATTTATCCCCCGTATCCTAAGATGGGGTGATTGTTGTTACTTGGGCCGCGCTGGAGAACCTCACTTCCTCCTCCCCTTTCTCCTCATCACTCAGCACACTCAGACCTACTCACAGTCAGACACACCCAAGACGCATTCACTCATGCTCAGAATCTTCACACATACATACAGACTGTGAAGATGTCTGAGGCGAGGCGCTGGTTTCCGCAACTTGTTTTCGGGTGAGGCTCCCCCCCCCAGGAGACCCCCGGAGGCCCCAGGAAGCCCGAGGAGGCTCCAGGATGCCCCAGGAGATTCCAGGAGGCCCCAGGAGGCCCCAGGAGGTCTCAGGAAGCACCAGGAGGCGACAGGACCCCCCCAGGACGCCTCGCCCCAGGCCAGGAAGCTCCAGGGGGGCTCCTGGGGCTCGAATCCTAGGTGTCTTACGCGGGTTCCTATAGATTGCCCCTCTCCTGGGGCTCGAAGCTCGAATATTTTACGTATGTTCCTGTAGATTGCCTTTCTCCTGAGGCTTGAATATATGTGTTTTACGGATGTCAGTGCGGCCGCAGAAGCGCGCTAGCAGGTTCCAATCTGGAACTATGAAGCCGATCTTTCTAAGAAGGAACCCAATGAATGTTTGTCCGTAAGTCCGATTGGAGCAACATAATGTGCATGCATAGCAGGCGTCCTCCTGCCGGCCGCCATGAAGGGAAGCCAGTGCCGTCTAACCGATCCCATCCCCATCGGGCCATGGCATCTCAGCCCCACAAACACATCGGCCCAGGCGGGGATGTTCGGAAGCCGGGCAAGGGCTGCTAAATCCGTGGCTGCTAAAATCGACCTCCGGGAAGTTGTCTTCGTCCCTCCGGGAAGAAGCCCGTTGACTGTTTCGCGTGCCGCGCCTCATTCCGGGAAGCTGCTTTTTCCTTCCGGGAGGGCCGTTTTAGCAGCCACGGTTTTAGCAGTCGCCCAGCTTCCAAGATGTACCCCTCGAGACCCGAAGTAAGCAGCCTCTCTTCCCGTCTACGGGGGTGCATCGGCCACTGGGTGGGGCCCAGGCCACGCCAGTGGGGATAGGGATCGGGTCGACGATGCTCAGAGAGAGGGGTCATTCATGAGGGAAGCGGGCCCCGGGGCTTTCCCCAGGATCATCTCTTCATCCGTTGTTTGAAGGCCCCGGTCTGGAGGCCCGAAATGGGTACGGAAAGAATGGGTACGAGGCCCAACAGCAGTTCCTGTTCATTTTGAACAGGACTCGCTGTCCGCGTCGCCGCGGCCTGTGTCCATTTGAGACAGAAGGCCGCCTGCCCAACAGCGGCCGCTGCTGGCTGGGGACGACATTTGTTGCTGGGCACTGTACCCATTCTTTCCGTGCCCACTTCGGGCGTCCAAAGTCGTTTGGAAGACCCCGGGGGACATGGATCGGCGGCGAGATCCGAACCTTGCCCCCGCCGATCCAAGATTCGGACAACTCGGTAGTTGGTCGGGGTAGGGCTCCGAATTCGTCGAACACGTGGCGAAATCCGAACCCTGCCCCCGCCGATCCAAGATTCAGACAACTGGGTAGTTGGTAGGGGTGGGGCTCCGAATTCGTCGAGCACGCGGCGAAGTCCGAACCATGCCCCCGCCTCCCATCGACGTCGATTCGGGAGGATCGATGGTTGGCGGGGGCAGGGTTCGGATGCCGCCAACTGGTGGAGGGCCCTGGGCGCCCGGAGATCGTGAAGAGGTTCCAAGTCGGGAGCCTGGAGACGGGGCTCAATGCAAACAGGGGTCTGTTAACCCGAGCGTGGATTGACCTGGATCAGAAGGTCCCCGACCAAGGCCCCTCTCCTCCTCCTCCTCCTCCTCCTCCTCCTCCTCCTTCTCCTCCTCCTCCTCCTCCTCCTCCTCCTCCTCCTACTCCTCCTCCTCCAGGACCCGTCTCCTTCCTGCTGGCGTCAGCCCGAACGGCGGGCTCGGCACAGGAGGCAGAGACTCGAGGACACGCCCCCCGCGGCTGTGCGGACGCACCTCCTCACCGAGGAGGGGCGCCCCACCAGAACCCACCAAGCTGGGCCCCAAGTGTTCTGTTGGCCCAGTCCTCCCCTCGGTATCGCTCGGACGTGTGCACTTTTTCTGCGACGACAGAACCACGCACGAAACCAAAAAAACACAGGGAATGGACGTCCAAGCTGGGCCCCAAGTGTTCTGCTGGCCCAGTCCTCCCCGATGGGGACCGAGCAGCTGGGCTCGGCGGGTCGCGCCGCATCGTCGATGCCGCGGCGATGCGGCTCGATGCGGGGCCCGACTTTCTCCCCGCCGAGGTCTCCGATGCGTCGCCGATGCATCGCCGGTGCATCGGCGATGCATCGGCGATGCGGCGCGATCCTCCGACCCTCCTACCACTTGGACCCCATCAGGGAGGCCTCTAGTTGGCCCAGTCGGGAGCTTCACAGAGTCGGGACTCGGTGTCGCCATACTCCGGGGCCCTGGAACGGTGTGGTGACAGCACCATGTGGTGAGTCAGTAGGGATTCGGGATGGCCGCACGGTTTTGGCACTTGGCTCGTTATTCGAGGATGTTTCGGGCTACTTGGGCCTCCAGGGTCCCAAGACCGTGCGGCGATGCACCGTGCGGTGAGGTCTTGGGGGATTCCGAGGTCACCGCACAGTCTGTCACCGCACCGCTTTGGATCGCCCAGCACACCGTCCCCATCTCAATGCTCCTAGTTTTGCCCCAGGTTTTGTCGTCCCCGTGGGACATTTCACAGAGTCGAGGATTGACGTCGCGATGCCCCCGTTGCTGGGCTCTTCCCGCCGGCCCTGGCCGGCGCGCAGGATCCTCGACGAGGAGGCGAGAACCCCAGTCGAGGAGGCGAGAACCCCAGTCGAAGGGGTCCCAGTCGAAGTCCCCAGCAAGTCGGGGAGTGGCGCAGCCATTCCCTCGCCATGGGGGGCACTGGTCCTGAGGTGTTTGCACCTGTTTTGTCCTCGGGGGGCCCCCACGTGCCCCGAGACCGTCGGGCAGGTGTTCAGGACGAGCTGGTCCTGTGGGAAGGCCCCGGGGTCGCAAAAAAAAAAACCCGTTTCCTCCGTTGGATTGCAAAAAAAAACCAAGGATTGCAAAAAAAAAAAAAAACACGAAGGATTGCAAAAACAAACAAAAAAACACGAAGGATTGCAAAAAAAAACACGAAGGGTTTTTTTTGCAATCCTTCAAAAAACACGAAGGGTTTTTTTTTTGCAATCCCCCGTTTCCTTCCTGAATGGCCCATCTCTCGCATGCTCAAGCTCATGTCTCCTCGTCTGCACGCGGTATGTCTCGCTGGCGGCCCGCGTAATTAAGCTTCTGCGTGGGGCCGCCATGGTGAGGTCGCTGTGCCTTCTGGCGCAGGGCCCCTTCTTGTGGTCCAGGTCCCAAGATTCCTTGCAGTTTGACGGCCTTCGTTTAGATTGGGAAGGCCTGGCGGTCGATGCCGCCGACCTTGAAGGGGGACGGCGACGACGACGGCGGCGGCGGCGGCAGCGGCGACGCTGACGCTCTGGAGCCTCTCTTGGGGCTCTCTTGGGAGCCGCTTGGGCTCTGCTGGAGCTTGGGCTGGGGCCGCTGCTGGAGCGAAAGGGCCGTGGCCTTAAGTCGGGCCTGTCCCTCTACAGGAGGAATATTCAAAAATAGTCCAAAAAACAGTCCGGGGCATATTGTTTAAGCATTTTTTTGACCATTTTGGAATACTTTTGGGGTGTTTTCAGTTTTTCGTCGAAAATCCCCCTGTAGGGGGACACGCCCGACTTAACCGTGGCCGAAGGCCGAGGCTGGGGCCACGGCCCCGGCTGGGGCCGGTGGCCAGGGCTGGGCCCGGGCCGGGGCGCCGGGGCTAGGACCCGGGCTGCGGCCCCGTGGGCTGGGCCGTGGGCCGTGGGCCGGGGCCCGAGCGGGGGCCGGGGCCAGGGCCTGGAGTCGGGACGACCGACATGGGTACGGGAAGAGTTCGGGTCGGGCGAAAGGGGGGGATTGGGAAAGGGGGGTTACGACATTTGCTGCATGCAGCTGGTTTCGGCCTCACCGAGGGCCCATTCCTCGATACATAGCCGCCTCCGGCGCCGGGAGGCGCCGGGAAAATCAGCTACGTGAGCTGATTCTCAACCCCCCCCTTTGCTATCCCCCCCTTTCGCCCGACCCGAAGAGTGGGTACAATGCCCAACAGCAGTTTCTGTTCATTTTGAACAGGACTCGCTGTCCGCGCCGCCGCGGCCTGTGTCCATTTGAGACAGACGGCCGCCTGCCCAACAGCGGCCGCTGTTGGTTTTGGGACAACATTTGTTGTTGGGCATTGTACGCATTTTTTCCGTACCCAGTTCGGGCGTCCAAATGGAGGGGGCCAGGGCGCGGGGCGAAAACATATTTGGGTGGCGCCCACCCCAGGACCTCCCCCGGACCCACCCACCCCCGTCCCTATACCCCTCCCCAGACCCCCCCCCCCGAACCCCCCTCCTGGCGCGGGGAAGGGGTCAAAGGAAGGGGCTTCCCTTCGATTTTACTCCGAGGTTGTTCAAGTGTGCTTAAGATGGCGCGTATGAGGATGAGGGTCCAGGCAAATGGAGCAGAGGAGGACGGAGACGACGACTCCAACGGAACAGCCCAACTCAGTCGGAAAAGCCCCTCGCATGCGCTGACAGGGTCGGCGGATTTCATCGGCTTTGGTCGACGTTTAGACGAAATCCAGTCGAAATCCCGTTTTCAGGTAGGGCCGCTGAGGTCCACAGAAGCTCCCAGGAAGGCCCACCCAACAGTTTTTTCGTCGCTCAGATGAGCGAGGGAAGAGTCTGGGGCCAACTGCGCCGACCGTCTCTCGTAAGTTGCCCGCGCGGGGTCGCGCGTAAGCGCCGCGTTTTTTTCAATGTGGCGCGCCCGCGTAAGCCGCCGTGTAAGGTCGCCATGTCATTTCGCGTACAGTCGAATCCGATGACAAGGATGGGTGACCTTCCCAAGGGTACCCTTGCATCCCTGCCTCTCCGGTGCATCCTAGATCCCGTTCGATGGCCAGCCCCGCACGAGAAGCTTCGACGTGGGCGTCCAAGGGGCGTGCATCCTTATCGCACATCCTTGCTATCAGTTCTCATTGTGAGTCATCTGGCGTAAGACCCGTTTGTCCTCGTTGCTCGCACGGCGCGGCCAGCGCGCAGGCTCCTGGAGGAGGAGCTGAGGCAGCTCACCGCCGCGCTGGCGGAGGCTCGGCAAGGGCCGCCGCAGGTCGCGGCGCCCCCCGCGCGCCACGAGCGGCGGGGCTCGCAGGAGGGTCCCCGCCTACCCCCCTGCTTCCTCCCCTCCTCTCCCACTCCTCTCCCTGATCCTCCTCCTCCTCCTCCTCCTCCTCCTCCTCCTCCTCCTCCTCCTCCTCCGCAATGTTTCTCGGGATGAGGCTCGCCAGGAGGAATGTTGCCGTCGTCGAGATATGCTACATGTTCGGGCGGCCCTACGGGAAAAAAACTCTTTCTCGGCGCAGAGGAGGCCCAACGCATCGATGCTGAGCTGAAGAGGATATCGCAGGAACGGCGCCTCCTTCGCAGGCGTGAAATCAGAGTTCTTCGCGCTCAGTTGGTGGCCGAGGCCTCCGAGCTGTGGGACAAGTCTCGCCAGGCGGAGGCCATGCGACTCGCTCGCCGTGCAGCCCAGACACGCATTGGCCCGAAGAAGCGTGACGGGCTTTTTGTACGCAGTGCACCCCCAACGGCAAGGGCCTGGCTTGATGTCTGGGAACGTGAAGGGGCAGCTGGTGACATGTCTGTTATTCCGCAGGATTGGGATTCTTGGCGTGAGCATCGGGATGACAGGACTTTCTTCTGGCTGCCTGAGGAGGCGACATTTGAGTTAGCAGAGGCGGACATGACGCGGGTAATCCAGTGGCTTCGCCACGCCGCTAAGCGCAGGGCGGTCCCACAGTTCACTGCCCCACTGGAACTATGGCACATGATGCTCATGCCATGGCGGACGTTCAAACGCCAGCGCGGACTGGGTCTTGGCTTTGAGGGTGAGCAGCCATCTACTAGTGGTTTCAATTTCTTGGTCTCAGTTGGTTTCTCTAAGATACGAATGCATAATGTCACGCCACTTTACTGGCATCGCACGGACGGTGCTGGACTTCGTAAATCTGATCAACCTGGTCCTCGCGGTCGTCGGGCGGTTCATGTCATGTCTGCGGTGGGCAAGGGGTTCCACGCTCAGCTGCTGCAGCCGCCCCCGATGGTCAATGATCATGGCTATTTCCGACATCGTCGGCGCGAGGACGCAGTGCTTGGAGCTCTTGCAGCGTCGTGGAGATTGAGGGCGCAGGGCATTACTCATGCGATGACACTTAATATATGTCCAATGCCTTCGGCAGCTCCTTGTGGGATCAGCTTAACGTCACTGTGCAGCTACATGCGAAGGAGGAGGATCGACTTCTCTGCCAGCAACGATTTCAGAACGCGGTCATCTACTTGGAGGCACTGGAAGGCCCTCTCATGGTTCGCCCCTTGCAGGGGAACACGATGGGGGACCCATTTGCTGTCCGAGCTTTTTGCGGTACATTCTCCCGCCCCATCTTGTCGTGGAGGCATGGCGAGCAGTCGGCGGACCCTCAGGCCAGCGTGCTCAAGGCATCATGGCATGAGCTACGCGCGGACGTGAGTACCTTTAAGTTTGTTGATGACATCAACAGTTTTGTGCTCGCCGAACCGATGCAGTCTCTTGCGGACTTCACGTCTAAGATTGTGGCGGTGGATTCTCGTTTGGACAGTTGTCTCGACGAATGCGGATATGGTCAGAACCCTTCAAAGCAGGAGTTCCTTATGTTCTTTGCTGAACGCAGCTATCTGCGCCGCCAGTTGCTCCGCCACCAGCCAGATCTCCCCCATGGCTCGGTCAGGGACCACGTGAGGTACTTGGGCCCCTACCTTAGCATGAGTGTCTCGGCCCGATCGGAGATCTCCAGGAGGTGCAGTGCTGCTAGGTCTGGATTCTTCTCTTTGGGCAGGGCGTGGAGTCTGGGCATCCCGAAGCGATGGAAACGTAGTCTGTTCCTCGGGTTCGTCCAGGATGCTTTGTTGAGCGGGTTGGAGAGCTTTGTGGTTACGGAGGCGGACGCTGGGATCCTGGATCGATGTCTCGCGGGACTTGGGCGAGTAGCGATGCTTGGGAAGGCGACGTCTTGGGAGGGCCCGCACGTGACCAGTCCCTCGAATAAGCAGGTCTTGGATCACTGGAAGCTCGCCCCGTGTTCGCTGGAGCTCTTAATTAGACGGGTGAAGCTGCGTCAATCGTGGAGTGCTCACCCAATGGAACATCAGCAAGTTTTGTGCGCGCTGTTTGGTGCTTCTCCAATCGAGAGAACTGGTGCACCTCTCTGCCGCGGGAGACCGTCTGCGCATGCTGCGCCGTGGACAAAACAAGTTGCCGATGAATTTGGTCGAGTCTCCCGCCTGTTGCCATATGAGGTGATTCGAATGATTGCCGAGGATCTGAATTTACTCCTTGATTCCGAGATTTCTGGGGACGTTGTGCGAGTGGATCTTACTGAACTTCGAAGTCAGGCGTTTACCGCCTGCATCCCTCTTCCAGGTTTCGTCGTTCCTGAGGGCAAGGAGGGAGGAGGTCAGGGTGGACTTGGAGGTCAAGATGAACATGCACCGGAGGATCATGATCGCACGCACTACTGCACGATGGACCTCAATGGGGGGCCCTGTGGAGCAGCATTCTGCACGCGCAAAGGCCTCTTGGAGCATCTTAGGCACTGTCATAAACTACAAAGCCTTGCACATGTTCTTACTCCCAGCAACGCGCGTATACATTGCCTTCAGATATTTAGCACATCCACTACGGCACCCCGCCACCTCCTTCGGTCAATACGGGGTCACTGGATTACGTGTGGGCCCCGCTCGTTCGCCCCGCATGTGGCTCCTGATTCCTATGAGTGCCCGTGTTGCGAGTATATTGGAGAGGATGCGGTTTCGCTGTGTCGCCATCTCCGAAGCCATCTCCCTGTCAAGATTGCACCTTTCATTCGACTACACGTCTCCGAAGATGCCCGAGGTAGAGGATGCGTCCATGTCGGGAAACGCCGCCCCGAGACCTGCTTGGCGCAGCGGAGCCCCGGCGACAGGGGACGACGCGGACAAGCCGCCCGATGGCAAGAAACAGAAGGGCACAGGCGGCAACCACACCAAAGGGCAGAAGGTGAAGGACGACAAGATCATTGCAACCATTTGCAAGCTCGCACTAGCCAACGCTCGGGAGTTGGCCGAGCTCAGCGCTGTCTGCTACCTCAGGCACGAGATGGACGCTGGCCAAGGCATGATCGCAGCCGCAGTCGCGGCAGGGAAGCAATACAACGACGAGAGCATGGCCCTTCGCAAGCGGAGCGAATCAGGAGAAAAAGTCGACCACACATCTCGCGGGGCTCCCCATTTGTCGGCATTCATGGCAGCGATGGAGCATGGGGCCACCAAGGCGGTGGCAGAGGAGGCAGATCCCGCGAAGCTTCAGAAGGCCGAGCACTTGAGGCGGGAGATGCGCGGGCATTGGGACGAGAGACTTTCCAAGGCCCCGATGACCGAGGTGGAGAGGGCAGTCCAGTATTTTCGGGTCCGTCTCCATCGGGAAGAAGCAGGGAAACGGAGGATGTGCACGTTCTTGTTTCGGATGGACCTGAACACTCAGATGGGCTCCGCGGCGGGCCCCATGATCGAGAGCCCGGTGTCTGTGGAGGGGGGCTCGTTCCTCTCAGGCTCGGCCCCGCGCGGGCCATTGGAGAGGGAGATCTCGAAGTATCTGGACCGCAACAAGAGCGACTGAGTAGGCAAAGTGAGGACCAGGCCGAGTGGTTGCGCAACAGTTCCAGAGTTGTTGAGTTGATTTCCTCGGGTCGTGCGTCTCGGGGCCAGGTGGAAAGGGCCCTCACTAGGCCCCCCCGAGTTTTTGAGGAGAGACCCGTTGGCGTAGCGGTGCCTGAGGCACCAACAGTACTTGTCGTAGTTCTGAATCGCGGTAGAGGCCGACACTCTGGGCGTGGGAGGCGGGGGGTGAGCTCTGGGGGGCGGGGGGAGGGAAGAGGTCGTCGCGCCTAGGTGCGCGGGCCCCCTCGGAGGGCCGCGTGCCCATAGGGGTGCCTGCCATGCCAGTGCAGTTCGGGCTGTGAGCCTTTTTCAGGCTTGCATCGTAAATGGTGCGGTTTCGAAGGAACCTTCTCAGAGTACAGTCTGATTTAACGAGGTTAGGGCCTGGCCAGCGTTCAGACATCGACTCCACGAGATTCTGCTCCTCCTCCTCCTCCTCCTCCTCCCTCCTCCCTCCTCATCCTCCTCCTCCTCCTCCTCCTCCTCCTCCTCCTCCTCCTCCTCCCTCCTCCCTCCTCCCTCCCCCCTCTCTCTATCTCCTCCTCCTCCCTCCATCTCCTCATCATCCTCATCATCATCATCAGCAGCAGCAGCATCATCATCGTCATTGTCATCATCCTCATCCTCCTCCTCTCCCTCCTCCATCTCCTCTCCCTCCTCCATTTCCTTCTCCTCCTCCTCCTCCTCATCCGACCCTCCTCCTCCTCCTCCTCCTCCTCCTCCTCCTCCTTCTGCGACCTTCTGCGATCATGGCCGCATCCCTCGCGCAAGCGTGAAACATGTGAGCACCAGCCAAAAAGGGAGAGAGAGCGGGCGCGCGCGCCTAAAAGCCGTACTTGTCCGCTGCCGTGGAGGAAGATGGGCAGGACACGACGACGACGACAGGCGGCCCCTCGCTCTCCCCTCGCTCTCAGCACACACTGGAGAGCGGCTCGGACCGACCGAATTCTCGGCCCGAAGACGGATCGACACCTCGGCGGAGCTTCCTCAAGCTCTGGGAGGCGTCCTTATTACGGGGGCGGCCCAAGCACACCTCACGTAAAAACTGCGAACGCTGGGCCCCGAACGCCCCGCACCGCGCGCACCACACGACACGGCCACCCCCCAGATACAAACGGTGGGAGGGGTGGGCCGACCGGGCGACCCTCGGCACGCCACGACACGGCACTTTGCAGATTCCTATCCTACCACCTGCCTCTCCGCACCGTGCACACCGATACTTGCCTTTTTTATCCACTCGGCTCAGCTGGTGTCCAAGAGCATCTGGCACCAACTCGAGGTGATTTGGCCTGCACTTGATCCTCGCTCGTACCTTCTCGACATCTGGGGGGCCGAGCTTTGATAGGTGCCTCATCGTCTCGTGGATGAGGCACACCCCCTGGGCCACATGCGCTTCCTGGACATGCATAAGCCTCCGCACTT